ACCAGATCGAAAACACCTAAAACCCTAAAAATGACCCCAACTTCACTCCAAAATCTCCAAAACCCTACCGCCATAGACCCAGACAAGCAAGACCCGGATCTTAAAAACTCGTCTTCAGATCAAAAAACTGCAAATTAAACACAATTCTAGGGCTTTTATCGAAAACTCAACACAAATCTAAGCAACTTGAAGTCTAAGAAATCGTGAAAATTCGATCGAACCCAGCAAAACCATTGAAAAGCAAAAACACAAAAACAAGAACGAGAGTTTTCGAAAACACAAAACAATTTTCTGAAAAAAGTAAGAGAGTTATACCTCTGCTTGCGAAGAAGTGACGGGAATTGAATTAGAGCTCATCGATTAAACCCAATAGAATTTTCAGAACCCTTCTTCTCTGAAACATGAAAGAAAGAGGAGAGCTTTTTGGTTTCGAAAAATCCTCGCCCGTTGAAACGAAGAGAGAGAAAGAGACAGAGGGTAGAGGAAATAATATAAATACTTACAAAAAAAAGTTTAGAAATTTTTAAACGAATATATGTGCACCGACGTCTCCGTTAATTACCGTTACCGAAGGAGATTTGGGCTTTTGCGAGGTTTAGGAAACCCTATCGGTTAACGGCGGATGACGGCGCGTTGAGAACGTTAACCCAAAGTTTGAACCTCAAACGGCACTCTGAGGCCCTCTGTTAATGTTGAACTGGGTTTGGAGCAGTTGGATGGGGGGTTAGTTGCGCGGGGACTTGTGGACCGTTGGATTGGGGAATAAAGGCGTTCGTGGTTCGTGGTTTGGAAGGGGACATTTTAATTATTAAATTGCGGTTTAGGGTATTAAATTATTCATGTTGGCTGGAACGTCATATCATGGGTGACGTTGGACGGTGGAGATGGTGTTTTTATCCGGGTGATTGTATTGATCTTGTGGATCTGGACCGTTGGTTGGCGGGAAAAACTCTCAACAAGACGTATGTTTAATTTTTTTTACAATTTTTTTTTTTTTTTTGTCAAACGATAGATTTTATTAGATTAACCATCAATGACGGAATTCAAACCTATACCGACATGCAAGAACTCAACTTCTTTTAACTACTGTGGTAAAGAGTCACTTACAATTGAACACAGCTTTTATATTACAACTTTTGAATTGAATAAAATTAAGACGAATTAAGATATGCATATAAAAAGGGGTGAATAAAATTAAGGCAAGTTAAGATATACATATAAAAAGGGGGTTTTTCATTTTTTTTTTTTTTTTTTGGAAACCATAAAAAGCAATTTTTAGGATAGAGGTAGATTATCTGCCCTCCCACTTCCTGTGCCTTTCTGTTTGTGTAGTTACGGTTAAGCCACATCAACATTTTATATTGCTATTTTTTTTTTTTTGTCCTTTTGTCTCTATAAAAAAACAATATAAAATGTTGACATGGTTTAACCACACAAAACAAGAAGGCACAGGAAGTGAGAGGGCAGAAAATCTGCCTGCGTTTAGGATTGCCTCAAATAGGACAACTCACTAATTTTAATGGATATTGAATGAAAAAACAGATGTCATTTACATTTTTTGTTCAAGTGCAGCAGACGATGGATTAGATATGAAACAGATCTCTCTTAATCCCTACAAAAATAATAGAATTGGTCGAGATAAGTTTTCACCATAGCTTATCCATCTTTCGAAAGAAAAAAAAAATGTAAGCGGGCATCCAATCTTCATTTAGCATTCATTGAATCTAACGATTTATGGTATCCAAGCCACTCATAGACACCAAAGAAGCCTCTCCAGACTTTTGAATGTTTAGCAAAAATTTAAAAGTGCTTTAAATTCAAAAGTGATTTTTCTATAGAAACACATTCTCCTAGTGATTTTTTTGTCACCTCCATGTAATTTTTTTGAACTCCAAACCAGAAGCGTTTGACAGCTTTCTATCCTAGTGCTTCCCCACAAAGCATCATTTGGAATGTTTACAAACAACCACCTTCTTCCTTACATAATGCATCCAACACTGGGCAGATATCATACTTATCCTTAACACATTTCTGCCTGATTGCTCATCAAGGTCAAGCTGGAACCTCCACGCCTGGGAGACCAACTAGTAACTCCTTCAGTCACTGTAAACCCGACTCATTTACAGGTCTACTGTTAGGTACTCTCCCTTCAAGTTTACCTATTCTAGTCCTCCAGAGACTTTCACAATCATATCGTAATCTTTATCATCTTTAGCACAAAGGAGAAGAAGCTCAGAAGTCAATGATTTACCAACCAATTCTCTTCTCAAATAATCTAAATCTCTTTGTTGGCTCACTATCGAGATCACTGCCAACCAAAGTCAAGTTCTAACTTAAAAAGGTAAAAAAGGATCTGGGTATCAAGAATAAGAGGATGCATCAGGGTCTATCAGTTCCAAATCGTATACTCATTTTTTTCTCAGTTGAGGACTTTATCAATTAACAAAACCACACAATCTAAGTTTCTATATAGGTAAATGAGCCATTCCTTCCCAACTGTCAATCGCAGTTTAACACGTATACAAATTTGACTCATAAAATGCACACAAGAAATAGTTTCTGCATGCACCAAACAGAGATTTAATTGTAAACATGAATGAGAAGTACGAAACCAAGTATTTTCCTTTCCTGAAAAGCAAGCTAATCAAGCTAATAACACAAACCCAGTTAATCACTTTTTCTTATTGTAAATTCACTTGACATTTTACCCCACCAGATAATCCGATATGATACGCACGAAAAAAGGAAAATCGTAAATCATACTAATTCATGTCTAATTCCAGCTTAACTGTAAAACCTCACGAACAATATTTCTTCTTTGAAAAGGTACAAATATATTCAGTGTAAGAAACATAATTCAAGAACCAATGCTAAACAAATTGCAACTTCCATAAACCAATTCGAGCAGTTTTCAGGACTTCCATACCAAAAATGAGTCATACATAGAGCTTAGCTCACTCTTGAGTAGCTGCTCCTTGATTAAGCTCTGCAAACCTCATGCCAACGCGCATCGAGTGCTTTAGGAACTTCTCAGCACACCTACGAACACAGGTATCCTCTTGCTTCGTCAGCGATTTGCGCTGAAAGGTGTCCACGCAGTCGGTAAAGCATCTCTCCACCAATGAATTGTACATCCTCAGACTGCATTTTCAACAAAAGTCACAGAAATCAGCAGGGGCGGGCATGGTTCGGTTTGGCCCAGCTCACCATCAAAACCGTGAGCCGAACTGAAGATGTACATTTGAATCACATCCTAATTCCAACTTTCCTGCTAACAATTAACAACTTAATTTTGTGGGTATTTTTCTAAAACTTCAATCTATCATGCACAACAGCAAGAACATGCCTCACTAATTACAAATTACTGAGAATAAATTCAATATTTTCAGGAAAACAGAAAAATAAACAAAAACACTGCATTCCAAAAAAAAAAAAAAAAAAAAATCAGAAAACCTGTCGCGAATCTGGAGTTGGTCGATCAAGGTGGCCATTCTGTGCTTGTCTTCTTCGGGAAGACCCTCCAAGTCTGCGGACAGCATGCCCTTCTCCATCTTCGTCTTCGTTCAATTTCCCAGAATTTTGGGGATTTAGGGTTTAATGCATATCCAATTACGGCCCGTCTTAAACCCTTCACATATTTACGCCGCCTTGCTGACAGGTCATCAAACTTTTGGGTAATTGAAATTCTGACCATGCGGCCATTTGGGCCTGTGCCAGTCGTATGCGGCTATGTCTCACGAGTTGCGGGTCCACGGAGAGAGCCCATAGACAAAGCAAATCCATGAGAGCAACTTGATGGTACGGTTATATTATCAACCTGTGGTGTTAATGATACAAAGTAATTTTTCACTTAATTTTTGATATTTGAAATCGATGGAAGTAATTTTCATGCAAAAATGATGACCATATTGCTTATGTTGTACGCCTTCCTTATACGACATGAGTTGGGACTAGCTCTGCCTCTGTGTGTGGATGGGTTGGACTAATGAAGTTTACGTTCGGGTGTACAATATAATTGCTCCTATTTGGGAGGAAATTATAACTTGCGGTCGGCTAAACCAATAGAGCCATACAACCATTTAGACAGTATTTTTTTGTGTCCGATAGTTGAATTAAGTGGACTATTCGACTTGCTCAGAAAGAAATAGAATTCCTATATTTCGATGTCACTTAACTCTACGCGGGTACAAATCATGTTTGACGGTCAAAACACAAGAATTCATTTTAAATAATCAAAAGCATTTCTAACCTTATTTTAAAAATTAAAAAAAAAACAAAAAAAACATTCCAATTAAAATGTTATTTGCTGACTAGATTTGAAAGTTTTTTTTATTATGAGTCAAATTTGACATCAATGTCAAACTTTTTTAAATTAATTTTAGTAGTAAGTCCCTTATTCTACTAATATTTCAACCAATGAAAATTTTGTTTCAACAATTTTTTTAATAAATACAACTATTTAAAGCTTTATATTAATAAAAAAATAACATTTGACAATTTAGTTAGCTACAAAATTTTACATAAAACCTTAGGTTATCACATCAATCATTAACCGTAATTTAACTGTTATAATTTGACATTTCTTTATACATCGTCTTATCCTGTCAAAGCAGTTTCCAAACGGCAAACATTTCTCAAAGAGTAAGAAATAGGCCCCACCACAGACGAGGCCCACCGGCCAAGTCCGCACCCTAATCCAAAAATTCGGATTATGATCCTCTCCAGATCCCCTCCCTGGGGATGCCGGGAATCAAAGCACAAGGACCGTTCATCAAAGATCGTGCGGTCATAATTAAATGATTTTTATATTTTTAAAAATAAAGCAATCTCGATTTGCCTAAAAAGAATCTACTTATGGCCGCACGATCGTTGATGAACGGTCGTTGTGTCTTGATCCCCGAGATCCCCAGGGAGGGGATCTGGAGAGGATCTAAATCCCAAAAATTCAAACTGAAAAAGGCCCAACGTTCGATTAATAGTTTCAAACCTCCTCTTCCCTCAAAGTCTTCATCTTTCAGTTACAGACCGTTCTGCAATTTCCCAATTCTCCCTCTTGAAATACAAGCTGAGCTCTTTCCTTTGTTCCAATGGAGGTTGGTCGATTACTTGACAGTACTTCTGCAACTCCAGTAAAATCCGCGAACCCCAATTCAATTTCGAAGGTCAGAGTCATCGTGCGGGTGCGCCCTTTTCTTCTCCGAGAGATCGCTGCAGGTAACGGAGATCAGACGCCGTGCGCCTCTGTTGTCGAACAACAATCCGATTCCTCTGCCGAAGAAGTGGTCGTTTATCTCAAAGATAAAGATACAAGGTGATGAATTTTCTGATTTTCAGTCAGATAAATTGGAAGCATATTTTTGGGTTTTTTTATTAGGGGAGCTGGGTTTTGATGGTGGGTGCTGATTTTTCCTTTCGAGGTGTAGCCGAAACGAGTGCTATCGGTTGGACTCCTTCTTTGCCCAAGAGGACAACAATGTTGGCCGGATCTTCAGTAGAGAAGTGTTCCCTTTGATTCCGGGACTCTTTCATGGCTGCAATGCGACGGTGTTTGCCTACGGAGCTACTGGAAGTGGAAAGACTTACACTATGCAGGTTTGAATTTTTTTGCTTCTTTTGGTAAAAAATCAATTTTGAATTTGAATTATCCAGAAATATGAAGAAAAAAAAAATCTTTTCTTTTTATATAATCGATGTTCTATTTTATTTTTTAAACTAATTAAATTGCGCGGAGGGGGACCACATCTGCTCTACCCAATGTGGCTACACCAGCGTCTGCCCACATATGAAACTTTAGTAATTGCATTAATCTGGATAATTCTGCCTATGGAACTTAAATGCATTAGGATCAATGAATACTGAACTTTATCTGTAATTATCCCCGAAAAGAAATGAAAATTCTGAATTATGATAGGTTTGAGTAACTAAATGTAGCTTGTTGTTCTGAAGCATTTCCTTCTGTAATGCTTAATTTCAGCATGTGATTTATGTTCCAGGGAACGGATGAGATGCCGGGTTTAATGCCACTGGCCATGTCCAAAATCCTGTCTATGTGCCTGAGCACAGGAAGCTCAGTAGAGCTTTCATACTATGAGGTCTATATGGACAGGTGTTATGACCTGTTAGAGATCAAAGCCAAGGAAATTACGGTTTTGGATGACAAAGATGGGCAGATTCATCTCAGGGGACTTTCTCGGGTGCCTGTAAAGTCCATGTCTGAGTTTTACGAGGCCTTTTCTTGTGGGATTCAGAGGCGGAAAACTGCACATACGGGTCTCAATGATGTCTCTAGTAGGAGCCATGGGGTCCTTGTGATCGCCGTTTCCACTCCTCATGATGATGGTTCTGGGGATTTCGTTACTGGGAAGTTGAATCTCATTGATCTAGCAGGTCTTTTCTTACTTCTAACCTTTTTCCTGTAGCTTACGTAAGTAAAAATCAATTGGAAATTAGATTTGTTTATGGTCTGTCTTTCTTTTATATAATCTACATGTGTATTTCACCCAGGCAATGAAGACAATAGAAGAACTTTCAACGAAGGGATTCGTCTCCAAGAGAGTGCGAAGATTAACCAGTCCTTGTTTGCATTATCGAATGTCATTTATGCACTGAACAACAACTTATCCCGAGTGCCCTATAGAGAGAGTAAATTGACTCGTATTTTGCAAGACTCATTAGGTGGGATGAGTCAGGCTTTGATGATTACTTGCTTGGTGAGTAGTTTGAATTCGCATTTGAATAGAAGTGCTTTCATCTGGCCTGCTCTTATTATTATTACTTTGGAACTTATATTGGAAACAATTTTCTTTGATAATAGAATCCAGGAGAGTACCAAGAGTCTGTTCATACTGTCAGCTTGGCAGCTCGGTCACGTCACATTACCAACTTTGTTCCTTCAGCTCACAAGCTAGAGACACCGAAGGTTAAAGTTGACATGGAAGCCAAACTTCGTGCTTGGCTTGAATCAAGAGGAAAGACGAAGAGTGCACGAAGAATTGAAGCATTCAGTTCTCCCTTGTTGGGGAAAACTCGTGGTTCTTCTATTGCCAATGTCAAGAGACCCAACATCAACCTCAGTTCTATGAAATCCAAGGTTAATACAAACAGAAGTGCCTGTACTGCAAAAGAAAGGTACAACAACTAGCAACTAGTTGAATTGTATATCTTCATCCTATGCACTAGGCACTTTTGTCTGATTGTTAAAATTTTTTGCAGGAAAATCACTATGCCTATGAGGAACATATTTGACAATGAAAGTGTAGTTGATTCCAATTTGGAGGTAATTACTAAATTTTAGCGAGTACATAGATGGAAATGATAAAGTTAGAACTACGTTATAGCATATTCGATACATTCTTATTCTTACTCTACCATGTATTGTGAAACTTTGTTTTTTACGACAATTCATGAAATGGCATATTATTTGAAAGTTTGAGTTTTGCAGCTCCACTTGGGGATGAGAAGCTGCTAAGTTCTTTTTGAGTTTGTTTATCTTGTGTTTGATGTGTATTTATGAGTTGGAATTGCTTTCCAGAACCTCCAATTCGCCGCTAAGGATAATAAACAAGAGGGCAATGCTGGAGGTGGTGGATCCATATTCGAATCCAATACAAGTTTACATGGTACTTTTCCACTCTCTATGGATTTATTACTTACTATGCTACTTAAAATTTCAAACAATCTAAACAAATTGAATATTTGTAATATTTCATTGTATATATGCGTAGGTGAGCCATCAAACCAGGAGGGAAACTCGCCGGGAAGTTCCTTGAGAAAAGCTCTCTCCCCAGTCAACACCAATATAAATCAAAAGCCCCTCAATGAACCTCTAGTCACAAATGGAGATTGCACTCCGAAAACTCCCTCTTTAGCGACCTGCACGAAAAACATGTTCCAAATAACAGGCACCCCACTTGATAAATTCACTGCTTGCGGATCAAACATAAAGGTACATTCATTGCATACAAATCGATAAGTCTTAGCGCTTCAATAATGTGAGTTTTCATCTATGTTTTTGGTTTTTAATAATTGTGCAGAATTTCCTACTTCAAGAGTATATTGACTTCTTGAACACAGCCAAAAGGTAAAATCCTTATCCTCATTTGAAACTTCATCGTTTCTTGCATTTTGCACTCTCAATCATACAAAATGAACCTAATATTTCGACTGGTTTTCGCAACTGCAGGGAAGAGCTGCTAGAGTTGAGGGTTGGTATCGTAACACTGCATCTCCGTGTTCTTAAAATAACTTGTTGCCTTCTAAAATTTTCTTTTTCTTGTGTTCATCATCGTCCAGGGAATAGGAGCCAAAATGGCTGAATACATACTTGAGCTCAGAGAAACAAGCCCTTTAAAATCGGTAAGCAAGTTTCGTAAGGTTTAGGCATAGATGAATTTCGAAATACACTTGTCCCTTCGGGTGATATCTGATAAAATTGGAACGATACAGAGAAATTTTGAATTGCATTAAATGAGTAATTCTGATGTTGCATGTTGCATGTTTCAGCTGAACGATTTGGAGAAAATAGGTCTCTCAACTAAGCAGGTGATCCTAAGAGAGTTTCACTACAATTCCCATTAAAAGATGAATGACTGATTACTAATCTGCTCTAATTAATTTTTTTTCCTACAGATTGTCAACCTGTTTAATAAAGCTGCAGTAGGGGTACTTGATAAGCAAATAAAGGCAACACCCAGCTGCTCAGATATTTTACAGGTCAAGTAAGCGTGACCTCGGGTAGGGGTGTCCGACAACGTCCAACTCTAAAGCACCTCTCACAAAAATCATTGGGAAACCTCTTGTATTGTAATCCACCAACCGCACGTTGGTCTGACCCGATGAGAGGCGGCAGCCCTACGGAGATTTATAGTCTTGTGAAGCAGACTCTGTAACATTGGCCCATCAGATTCCTTACTGATTTGGATTGCACATGTGATTGTAAAAGACAAAAAGAACATGTTTGTGTCGATTTGTGTAGCGTTCATCAGACCCTTTTTTGTAGTGCACAATCAGTTAAATGTAATGTCATATTTACAACTCTAATCTAATTCTTCTTTTGTGTTTTCTTCTTCATATATACGATTTTCTATAATATTCTGGACTATCGGGTTTTTCAGGTCTTTTAATCATTAATTTTTTTATCAAAAAGAGAAATTAAAATCTGACAATTAACACATATCAAATACCGTATACACCAAAGCACCATAGAATTTTTATTGACGGTTAAGGATGGGGATAGGGATACTGGGCTTGGAAAAGGAAGATTCTTTTCCTTGAAAATCTTAGAAATCCTGTGATTATGACCGTTCATCGTACATCGTGAGATCATAAATTATTTTAAAATTTAAAATTAAATATAAATAATACCTAGAAATCATTTTAAAATTTAAAATTTAAAATTAAATATAAATAATACATAACGAAAATTGATCGCACGATGTACGATGAACAACCATGATCACGAAATCTATAGGATTTCTAGAAAATAGATCAGGCGAGGATCCTTTTCCACTAGGCTTGACTTGAAAACGAACAACTTGCGCTATCCCCACAAGTGGGGCACTTTTTGCCCTTAAGTCCAGGATACACAAAAAATTCATCGATAACGATTGAGAGTGGATTTGTGACTCGATAGTATTGAGAAGGTGGAGGGCACCAGTGACTATGGTTTTGTAAAAGTACCATTGGGTGGTGGTTCCTCTCCTCTTGAACCCCAAACAAAAAAAAAAATATCGCATCAGATCGACTAAGAGTTCGAATCTAAAAAGTAAACCGACTCCAAAAATTAAAGTAAACAAAGCAAGTTTTTCATTCATTTCATCACACACAACATGATCCAACTCTACACAACACATGATAGAAAACAGACACAAGCAGCCATAACCTAGGATCATCCTCACCAGATCCTAGCCTAGTGGATCTGCAGGTCAGAGGGCAAGCCACGGCTACTTTATTCTAACAACACGACCTTGGTACATTAGGATCATAATTACCAGACACACACATAGATTACTACTGCTAAACATAGAAGCCCCACGCTTCTCTTGCTTCGTCAGAAGGTGACATCTGTCACTCACTTGCCGCACTTGCAGGGGTTGCAGGTGCAGCTATCCCCGCACTTGCATCCGTTCTCAGCAGCAACTCCCATCTCAGATGCCTCAAAGTGCCTGCAAACCAGAGCCCAATTTACAAATTCATCAACAAATGGTTAGCCCGATTAGAGAACCGGTTACAAACTTTTAATTAAAAAAAAAAAAAAAACTGGATCACGCAAAATAGCCAACGAACCGTACAAAAGTCACGATTTTTTACTCCTTTATTGTTGTTTTATAATTTTTATTATCTGTTTAGCGTCCATCCAGTTCTGTTTCTCCGTATTTCCAAGATTATAACCACAACATCTGCAATTTACAAATTTCAAATATAATTTAGGATTTCATTTTTCTGAGAGATGAGATACGTACGACTTCTGAGGAGCAACTCCCATGACAAGGGTCTCAGTGGTGGACCCCTCCATGTAGCCCACATCAGGTGGCATCCCACACCTGAAATAAGAACCCGCATAATCAAAAACCGAAAACAGAGTAGATATATTTTCTAGGATTTTCTTTTTCCAGATTCTCGGGAAACAAACAGAAAGTTAGAAAGATTACCCGTTGCAGCCACTGCCGCAGCTGCAGCTGGACCCGCAACCACATTTACCACCGCAGCACGACGACATTTTTGGGATTGGAGGTAAACAAATTCAGAAGGGAAAGTTTGATTGATTTGATAACAATAAAGCAGACAACCACAACTCTGTTTTGAATGGGTATTCAGGGGAGCCCATGACCCTCAATTTATAGCGCAGGGAAGGAGAGATTGGTTGATATCCGCCGTCCACGTTGCGCGATCGGACATCATGTCTATCCCATGCATTTAGGGTATATATATACACCTTCTTTTTAGATTGTGTGTGTGTGTGTGTATATATATATATATATATACCTTCTTTTAGATCGTATTTTGTAAAATATATGATGTGCCGTTTAAAAGTTAAATTCATTCTTTAAATTGTTATAAATAAAATTTAATTATCAATTGCCGTATTTTATGGTTTAAAAAATATAATAAAGAAAAATAGTCTCCTCACTGTTTCTACAATATATACTTGGAAATATTTTTGCTTTTTTAACATATAGCCAAGCGATAATGATTGTAGAGAGAAAATAGTAACTTTGGGTCAGTTAGTACTACGATCTAATAGTAGTCATCTTCATTTGTAAGTGAAAGATCTTAGTTCGATTCTCGCAAAAAAAGAATTTGAATCACATAATTACTAATCTAATAAGAAGCTAAACTCATTCTCCTTTCCCTAATGTAAACAGTATGCATTGCTCAAAAAAAAAAAAAAAGTAACTTTGGTTCGGTAAAAGTAAAACAGTAATGACATACGCTTGTATTTGGATTATGATGGTAAACGGGTGCTTATATTAGTCAAAAGTAATTATTATTAATCATTATTAATTAAAGCGAGTGCGAAATTTTATGTTGACTCTTAAGTCTATGAGAATGCCTTGTTACCTAACCTAACCTAATCTCTGTTCACCAGTCATGAAATTGAAACGTTCAGACGCGATAACAAATTCTGCGACCATGTTTGTCTGTCCACTTCATCTTGTACCCTTTTCATCTCTTTCTATATTACGTGGTTACGATTAAGTTACGTTAACATTTTATATTAATTTTTTTATAAAAATAATAAGACAAAAAGTAATGAGAATATAAAATGTTGACGTGGCTTAATTGTGACCACAGAAATAGAAGGAGATAAGAATGATATGGGATGGGGAGGGCAGATAATCCAGATCCCAAATTTTGGTACCCACTTAGAAGTTATGATGGCGTAGGATTCAGCTGTGATTACGTAGGAAAAGAAAATTCTTCATGCACTCGTAGCGGGAAGTGTGCATTTCACATTGTAGTCTCGTGAGGCTTGCATGATACGTAGCCATTTTTAAATACAAATTTCATGCAAACAAATGTTTTGTGACTTGTGAGTCCTACTTTGCTATCTTTTATGCATACGCTTACAAACAACCGGTTGTACGTAAAGTTTTAAGTCTATGATGCTAAAAGATAACAAGCGGTGGGTTCTTCAACTCGACATCTACATGCATGGGAACCTCACACTTTAAATTATTGCACCAAGACAAGGAATTTAATATCTTGTCTAGATCGAATAGAATGGGGAAGTGGGGGCTCTCGAGAAGAAGTTATGAAACATGTCCCCTCGTCCACCGAAAGGATAACTAAAATCCTAGATATCTCTCTTTTCTATACTATCACTTGTGAAATTGTTTTTTTTTTTTTTTTGAACCAACGATATTATATATACTGAGGGGATGGAGGAGTGTGCTAAACCTCATAATAGGCTAGCAATAATTTGAGTCAAGTTTGTCTCTGGCACTTACAAGTGAAGACGAATACCACTAGTCCGTAGTACTAAGTGGCATGAAATTTTTTTTTTTTTTGAACAATTGATAATATCTACACTAAGGAGACGAGGAAGTTGACTATCACCCTCATTTTCATATAATTGCACTCTCGGTTTCAAACTCACTCGGAATTTTTATTAACTAGCTTTTAATCTGGTAATACTTCGCTTATTGAGAGACGTTTCGAATTCAGATCTCATACTAATGTACATAAAAGGGAGAGGAAAAAAAGGTACTAAGTTATGATTTTTTTTTTAACAAACAATATTATTTATACTAAGGGAGGACGATGGGTTTAACCTCATAATGAGTTAGTAATAATGTGGTTTAAATTCATTTTTGACGAGAATCGAACATAAGACTTCTTATTTATAAGTGAAGAGAAATACTATTAAATCGTAGTACTAAGCGATTTAAAGCATGATTTAAGGGTGTAAAGTGCAACACATGGGCCAAAAGACCTGTCATTGTTAGTGCCCCATGCGTCTTCCTTTTTTACATTGGGAAGGGGAAGGCCCTTCAAGCAAGAGTGGACAAAAGTTGGGCCCACACTCTTTCTCAGTAATGGGCAGTATATTGTGGTAGGCCTCAAATGCAAGATAAAATTTTCATTACGACGGGAATACGAATAGTACACAACTTGCTTTTATATAAGTGGTGATAAATTTTATTTTTTAAGTTATTAACTTTTTAACATACATATCTCATCATTTGTATAATGACACGTGATGTACCAATTCGTTCGTTTGCTTTGGACGGGGGACAATTGGAGTCCCTTTCTGATAAGGAATGGCGAAGGATATACACATCCTCTCATAAGGGTTATAAACGAATCAAGCTCAACCGAATATCAATGTGTTTAAGTTTGACTTGTTTAATTCTTTACGAGCTTAAGTTAGACTTGGCTTACTCTTACATACGAGTCAAGCTTAAGCAAGCTTAAAAGTTTGAGCTCGATACCGAGCTCAAATTGTTTCGAGCTATTTCTTATAATAAGTTGATTTTGTTGTATAATTTTTTTTGCAACCTGGCAGTGGCCTATATAAAAAATCATGATATAGTTTTTGTAGATTGTAGTAAGCGGAAGATATTATCAAACCAAATGCTGGAATGAACTGCCTCGTCTTTTCTTCACCCTGATAAAATCAAACCAAATGCTGCTTTTGTCTATCCACTCATTCAAGTACAATTTTTGAACACGAAAAGAAATTAATATCCAATAATGCACTGTCAGAAATTATTTTGCTCAAACTTACGTTAGATTTGTCACTCTTCGCATCAGTGTCTTCTGGCATACAGGCATTTCCAGTACAGCTTCCCGGAATCCCAACTCCTGCAGCGTAGCAGACCCAAAGAAAACAAATTCCAACATAAATTAATAAACTGTAATATGATTTTACATCACATATCATGGCATAATCATAAGTTCCAGCCTTTCCATTGAACTGCTTACAAAAATGGCAAAAAATTCCTCGATAAGGATTGAGAGTGGATTTGCGGCTCGATAGTACTGAGAAGGTGGAGGGCACCAGTGACTACGGTTTTGTAAAAGTACCATTGGGTGGTGGTTCCTCTCCTCTTGAATCCCAAACAAAAAAAAAAATTATCGCATCAGATCGACTAAGAGTTCGAATCTAAAAAGTAAACCGACTCCAAAAATTAAAGTAAACAAAGCAAGTTTTTCATTCATTTCATCACACACAACATGATCCAACTCTACACAACACATGATAGAAAACAGACACAAGCAGCCATAACCTAGAATCATCCTCACCAGATCCTAGCCTAGTGGATCTGCAGGTCAGAGGGCAAGCCATGGCTACTTTATTCTAACAACACGACCTTGGTACATTGGGATCATAATTACCAGACACACACATAGATTACTACTGCTAAACATAGAAGCCCCACGATTCTCTTGCTTCGTCAGAAGGTGACATCTGTCACTCACTTGCCGCACTTGCAGGGGTTGCAGGTGCAGCTATCCCCGCACTTGCATCCGTTCTCAGCAGCAACTCCCATCTCAGATGCCTCAAAGTGCCTGCAAATCAGAGCCCAATTTACAAATTAATCAACAAATGGTTAGCCCGATTAGCGTAAATAAAACCGATTACAAACTTTTAATCTGAAAAAAAGAACTGGATCACGCAAAATGGCCAATAAGCCGTACATAAGTCACGATTTTTTACCCTTCTATTGTTGTTTTATAATTTTTATTGTCTGTTTAGCGTCCATCCAGTTCTGTTTCTCCGTATTTCCAAGATTATAACCACAACATCTGCAATTTACAAATTTCAAATATAATTTAGGATTTCATTTTTCTGAGAGATGAGATACGTACGACTTCTGAGGAGCAACTCCCATGAAAAGGGTCTCAGTGGTGGACCCCTCCATGTAGCTCAGATCAGGTGCCATCCCACACCTGAAATAAGAACCCGCATAATCAAAAACCGAAAACAGAGTAGATATATTTTCTGGGATTTTCTTTTTCAAGGTTCTCGGGAAACAAACAGAAAGTTAGAAAGATTACCCGTTGCAGCCACTGCCGCAGCTGCAGCTGGACCCGCAACCACATTTACCACCGCAGCACGACGACATTTTTGGGATTGGAGGTAAACAAATTCAGAAGGGAAAGTTTGATTGATTTGATAACAATAAAGCAGACAACCACAACTCTGTTTTGAATGAGTATACAGGGGAGCCCATGACCCTCAATTTATAGCGCAGGGAAGGAGAGATTGGTTGATATCCACCGTCCACGTTGCGCGATCGTACATCATGTCTATCCCATGCATTTAGGGTATATATATACACACACCTTCTTTTTAGATTGTATATATATATACCTTCTTTTAGATTGTATTTTGTAAAATATATGACGTGTCGTTTAAAAATTAGATTTATTCTTTAAATTGTTATAAATAAAATTCAATTATCAATCGCCACATCCTGTGGTTTAAAAAATATAATAAAGAATAATAGTCTCCTCACAGTTTCTACAATATATACTTAGAAATATTTTTGCTTTTTTACCGTATAGCGAAGCCATAATGATTGTAGAGAGAAAATAGTAATTTTGGGCTGCTTAGTACTACGATTTAGTAGTAGTCATTTTCAATTGTAAGTGAGAGATCTTAATTCAATTCTCGTCAAAAGAGAATTTAAATCACATTATTACTAATTTAATGTGAAGCTAAGCTCACTCTCCTCTTCCTTAATGTAAACAGTATGGATTGCTCAAAAAAAAAAAGTAATTTTGGTGCGGTAAAAGTAAAACAGTAATGACATATGCTTGTATTTGGATTATGATGGTAAACGGGTGCTTATATTAGTCAAAAGCAATTATTATTAATCGTTATTAATTAAAGCGAGTGCGTCATTTTATGTTGACTCTTAAGTCTATGAGAATGACTTGTTACCTAACCTAACCTAATCTCTGTTCACCAGTCATGAAACGTTCAGACACTATAACAAATTCTGCGACCTGAATTGTCTGTCCACTCCATCTTATACATTTTTCATTCCTTTCTATATTTTGTGATTACGATTAAGCCACGTTAATATTTTATATTAATTTTTTTATAGAAATAATAAGATAAAAAGTAATAAAAATATAAAATGTTAACATGACTTAACCGTGACCACATAAATAAAAGGGGATAAGAATGGTATGGGATGGAAAGGGCAGATAATCCAGATCCCAAATTTTGATACCCACTTACAAGTTATGATGTCGTAGGATTCAGCTGTGATTACGTAGGAAAAGAAAATTCTTCATGCACTCGTAGCGGGAAGTGTGTATTTCATATTGTAGTCGCGCGAGGCTCGCATGATACGTAGCCATTTTTAAATACAAATTTCATGCAAACAAATTTTTTGTGACTAGTGAGTCCTACTTTGCTATCTTTTGTGCATACGCTTACTAACAACCGGTTGCACATAAAGTCTTTAAGTTTATGATGTTAAAAGATAACTAGTGGTGGGTTCTTCAACTCGACATCTACATGCATGGGAACCTCACACTTTAAATTATTGCACCATGACAAGGAATTTAATATCTTGTCTAGATCGAATAGAATAGGGAAGTGGAGGCTCTCGAGAAGAAGTTATGAAACATGTCCCCTCGTCCACCGAAAGGATACCTAAAATCCTAGATATTTCTCTTTTCTATACTATCACTTGTGAAATTGTTTTTTTTTTTTTGACCTAACGATATTATCTATACTAAGGAGGTGAATGAGTGTGCTAAGCCTCACAATAGACTAGCAATAATTTAAGTCAAGTTCGTCTCTGGCACTTACAAGTGAAGAGGAATACCACTAATCCGTAGTATTAAGTGGCATGAAATTGTTTTCTTTTTTTGAATAATCGATAATATCTGCACTAAGGGGATGAGGAAGTTGACTAATATTTATAATGAGCTTGCCATAATAATCCGGTTCAAATTCTCATTTGACAATAATTGAATTAAGATCTCTCACTTATAAGTGAAGAATAATACTACAAGACCGTAGTATTAAGTGACATCACTTGTGAAAAATTAAATCAATATAATTAAATTAAATTAAATTGATTAAATAATTAGGGGACAAGGAAGTATCTTATGTACCCATCATTTCTTTAAGTTTGTCTAAAGTAAGATCAATTAAAATTTGTCATTAAGGAGTCATAAAGTGAACGAACCAATTCATGGTACCAAATATTCTCTCAATCACTATGATCATAAAAGGAATGGTTGTCTCTGCTTCTATGATTGTACTTCTTTCACCCTCATTTTCATATAATTGCACTCTCAGTTTCAAACTCACTCGGAAATTTTATTAACTAGCTCTTAATCTGGTAATACTTCGCTTATTGAGAGACGTTTCAGATCTCATACTCATGTATATAAAAGAGAGAGAAAAAAAAAGGTAGTAAGTCATGGTTTTTTTTTTAACAAACAATATTATTTATACTAAGGAGAGGACGGTGGGTTTAGCCTTACAATGGATTAGTAATAATGTGGTTTAAATTCATATTTGACGAGAATCGAACCTAAAACTTCTTATTTACAAATGAAGAGAATTACTATTAAATCATAGTACTAAGCGATTTAAAACATGATTTAAGGGTGTAAAGTCAACACATGGGCCAAAAGACCTGTCATTGTTAGTGCCCCATGCGTTTTCTATTTTTACATTGGGAAGGGGAAGGCCCTTCAAACAAGAGTGGACAAAAGTTGGGCCCACACTCTTTCTCAGTAATGGGCAGTATATTGTGGTAGGCACGGAAGAAATTTTTTTCATTACGACGGGAATACAGATGATACACCATATACTTTTATGTAAGTGGTGAGAAATTTTATTTTTTAAGTTATTCACTTTTTAACACATATATCTCATCATTTGTATAATAACACGTGATATACCATCTCGTGTGCAGGTAACACTGAAAAATCTCTCTAAATGCAATTCGTTCGTTTGCTTTGGACGGGGGACAATTGGAGTCCCTTTCTGATAAAGAATGGCGAAGGATACACACATCCTCTGATAAGGGTTATAAACGAATCGAGCTCAACCGAATATCAATGTGTTTAAGTTTGACTTGTTTAATTCTTTACGAGCTTAGATTAAACTTGGTTTACTCTTACATACAAGTCAAGCTTAAGCAAGCTTAAAAGTTTGAGCCCGATACCGAGCTCAAATTGTTTCGAGCCATTTCTTATAATAAGTTGATTTTGTTTTATAATTTTTTTTACAACTTGGCAGTGGCCTATATAAAAAATCATGATATAGTTTTTGTAGATTGTAGTAAGAGGAAGATATAATGTTTTGTATACTAGTCTACTATACAAATACGAGCATAAGTTTACTACAATATTTGTACCCTTAAAAAGTTTTGAAGTAGATGATAGTATTGGCAATGAATAATTCGCCCAATGGACTTTGGCTTTTCAAAATTTGCAGTACTCTTTAGGGTTCTTTGAGCGGCAACTTGAAGTCTTATTCGGCTATTGCCCCCTAATTCCACAAGAAAGAAAAAACAATATTAAACTATTGTTTTAAGCTTTTGTTTTGTTATCACATAGTACTATAATTTAGAGATATTTTTCTTCACTTGTAAGTAAAAGGTTTTAGGTTCAATTCTCGTCAAAGGCGAATTTGAACCACATTATTGTTAGCTCATTATAAAGCTTTACCCACTCTCCTACCCTTTAATGCAGATAATATCGTTTTTTTTTTTAAAAAAAAAAAAAAAAAGTCTTCGTTTTGCTAATTGAATTAGTTTGACTTGAACCTCCAAATATGCATATGATAAGAAATTAAATATATATATATATATATATATATATATATATATTTACGTGTATCAACTTCTTCTCGAACATATCTTGCATTCTGTCATCATCCAGCTTTTCTTCAATAAATGTGTGATCTTTTTTATTCTCATTAACCTTGTCATGCACGGTACGATCTCTAGTGATTAGTGGACAACTATCTCCACAACAATCATTATTGCCACTAATTGGTCGTTCATATGATGTCGCGGACAGTGATGCCAGATTGCTTGTAGCACAGGATTTTTCATTGCCGTGGTGAACAATTCTAGGACTATTCTCACTCAATACCATTTCAGCAATCGGGTACAGGTTAGGTGGTGGTTCCAAACGATGCATGGATTCTGTTCGTTTCAATTGTGATCGTACAGGACAGCTTGAAGCCCGGTTATGCCTACCCTCATTCTTTGACATTTCTCCAGCAATCCGTGCTTTTATTCGGGCCTTGACGGAATGTATGCCTGCTGGAATGAACTGCCTTGTCTTTTCTTCACCCTGATAAAATCAAACCAAATGCTGCTTTTGTCTATCCACTCATTCAAATACAATTTTTGAACACGAAAAGAAATTAATATCCAATAATGCACTGTCAGAAATTATTTTGCTCAAACTTACGTTAGATTTGTCACTCTTCGCATCAGTGTCTTCTGGCATACAGGCATTTCCAGTACAGCTTCCCGGAATCCCAACTCCTGCAGCGTAGCAGACCCAAAGAAAACAAATTCCAACATAAATTAATAAACTGTAATATGATTTTACATCACATATCATGGCATAATCATAAGTTCCAGCCTTTCCATTGAACTGCTTACAAAAATGGCAAAAAATTCCTCGATAAGGATTGAGAGTGGATTTGCGGCTCGATAGTACTGAGAAGGTGGAGGGCACCAGTGACTACGGTTTTGTAAAAGTACCATTGGGTGGTGGTTCCTCTCCTCTTGAATCCCAAACAAAAAAAAAATATCGCATCAGATCGACTAAGAGTTCGAATCTAAAAAGTAAACCGACTCCAAAAATTAAAGTAAACAAAGCAAGTTTTTCATTCATTTCATCACACAACATGATCCAACTCTACACAACACATGATAGAAAACAGACACAAGCAGCCATAACCTGGGATCATCCTCACCAGATCCTAGCCTAGTGGATCTGCAGGTCAGAGGGCAAGCCATGGCTACTTTATTCTAACAACACGACCTTGGTACATTAGGATCATAATTACCAGACACACACATAGATTACTACTGCTAAACATAGAAGCCCCACAATTCTCTTGCTTCGTCAGAAGGTGACATCTGTCACTCACTTGCCGCACTTGCAGGGGTTGCAGGTGCAGCTATCCCCGCACTTGCATCCGTTCTCAGCAGCAACTCCCATCTCAGATGCCTCAAAGTGCCTGCAAATCAGAGCCCAATTTACAAATTAATCAACAAATGGTTAGCCCGATTAGCGTAAATAGAACCGGTTACAAACTTCTAATCTAAAAAAAAAAAGAACTGGATCATGCAAAACAGCCAATAAGCCGTACAAAAGTCACGATTTTTTACTCCTTTATTGTTGTTTTATAATTTTTATTGTCTGTTTAGCGTCCATCCAGTTCTGTTTCTCCGTATTTTCAAGATTATAACCACAACATCTGCAATTTACAAATTTCAAATATAATTTAGGATTTCATTTTTCTGAGAGATGAGATACGTACGACTTCTGAGGAGCAACTCCCATGACAAGGGTCTCAGTGGTGGACCCCTCCATGTAGCTCAGATCGGGTGCCATCCCACACCTGAAATAAGAATCCGCATAATCAAAAACCAAAAACAGAGTAGATATATTTTCTGGGATTTTCTTTTTCCAGATTCTCGGGAAACAAACAGAAAGTTAGAAAGATTACCCGTTGCAGCCACTGCCGCAGCTGCAGCTGGACCCGCAACCACATTTACCACCGCAGCACGACGACATTTTTGGGATTGGAGGTAAACAAATTCAGAAGGGAAAGTTTGATTGATTTGATAACAATAAAGCAGAAAACCACAACTCTGTTTTGAATGAGTATTCAGGGGAGCCCATGACCCTCAATTTATAGCGCAGGGAAGGAAAGATTGGTTGATATCCACCGTCCACGTTGCGCGATCGTACATCATGTCTATCCCATGCATTTAGGGTATATATATATATATATATATATATATATATATATATATATATATACCTTCTTTTAGATCGTATTTTGTAAAATGCATGAATTGTCGTTTAAAAATTAGATTCATTCTTTAAATCGTTATAAATAAAATTCAATTATCAATCACATCTTGTGGTTTAAAAAATATAATAAAGAAAAATAGTCTCTTCACAGTTTCTACAATATATACTTAGAAATATTTTTATTTTTTTACCATATAGCGAAGCCATAATGATTGTAGAGAGAAAATAGTAACTTTGGGCTACTTAGTATTACGATCTAGTAGTAGTCATTTTTATTTGTAAGTGAGAGGTCTTAGTTCGATTCTCGTCAGTAGAGAATTTGAATCACATTATTACTAATATAATGTGAGACTAAGCTCACTCTCCTCCTCCTTAAAGTAAACAGTATGGATTGCTCAAAAAAAAAAGTAATTTTGGTGCGGTAAAAGTAAAACAGTAATGACATATGCTTGTATGTGGATTATGTTGGTAAACGGGTGCTTATATTAGTCAAAAGTAATTATTATTAATCATTATTAATTAAAGCGAGTGCGACATTTTAAGTCTATGAGAATGACTTGTTACCTAACCCAATCTAATCTCTGTTCACCAGTCATGAAACGTTCAGACACTACAACAAAATTCTGCAACTTGGATTGTCTGTCCGCTCTATCTTATACATTTTTCATCGCTTTCTATATTTTGTGGTTACGATTAAGCTATATCAATATTTTATATTGATTTTTTTATAAAAATAATAAGACAAAAAGTAATAAGAATATAAAATATTGACGTGGCTTAACCGTGACCGCATAAATAAAAAGGGATAAGAATCGTATGGGATGGAGAGGGCAGACAATCCAAATTTTGGTACCCATTTACAAGTTATGATGTCGTAGGATTCAGCTGTGATTACGTAGGAAAAGAAAATTCTTCATGCACTCGAAGCGGGAAGTGTGTATTTCACATTGTAGTCGCGTGAGGCTCGCATGATACGTAGCCATTTTTAAATACAAATTTCATGCAAACAAATGTTTTGTGACTAGTGAGTCCTACTTTGCTATCTTCTATGCATACGCTTACAAACAACCGGTTGCGCGTAAAGTCTTTAAGTTTATGATGTTAAAAGATAACTAGTGGTGGGTTCTTCAACTCGACATCTACATGCATGGGAACCTCACACTTTAAATTATTGCACCATGACAGGGAATTTAATATCTTGTCTAGATCGAATAGAATAGGGAAGTGGGGGCTCTCGAGAAGAAGTTATGAAACATGTCCCCTCGTCCACCGAAAGGATACCTAAAATCCTAGATATTTCTCTTTTCTATACTATCACTTGTGAAATTGTTTTTTTTTTTTTTTTTGTCCTAACGATATTATCTATACCAAGGAGGTGAATGAGTGTGCTAAGCCTCGTAATAGGCTAGCAATAATTTAAGTCAAGTTCGTCTCTGGCACTTACAAGTGAAGAGGAATACCACTAATCCGTAGTACTAAGTGGCATGAAATTGTTTTCTTTTTTTGAATAATCGATAATATCTACACTAAGGGGATGAGGAAGTTGACTAATATTTATAATGAGCTTGCCATAATAATCCGGTTCAAATTCTCATTTGGCAATAATTGAATTAAGATCTCTCACTTATAAGTGAAGAAGAATACTACAAGACCGTAGTATTAAGTGACATCACTTGTGAAAAATTAAATCAATATAATTAAATTAAATTAAATTGATTAAATAATTAGGGGACAAGGAAGTATCTTATGTACCCATCATTTCTTTAAGTTTGTCTAAAGTAAGATCAATTAAAATTTGTCATTAAGGAGTCATAAAGTGAACGAACCAATTCATGGTACCAAATATTCTCTCAATCACTATGATCATAAAAGGAATGGTTGTCTCTGCTTCTATGATTGTACTTCTTTCACCCTCATTTTCATATAATTGCACTCTCAGTTTCAAACTCACTCGGAAATTTTATTAACTAGCTCTTAATCTGGTAATACTTCGCTTATTGAGAGACGTTTCGAATTCAGATCTCATACTCATGTATATAAAAGAGAGAGAAAAAAAAAGGTAGTAAGTCATGATTTTTTTTTTAATAAACAATATTATTTATACTAAGGAGAGGACGGTGGGTTTAGCCTTACAATGAATTAGTAATAATGTGGTTTAAATGCATATTTGACGAGAATCGAACCTAAAACTTCTTATTTACAAATGAAGAGAATTACTATTAAATCATAGTACTAAGCGGTTTAAAACATGATTTAAGGGTGTAAAGTCAACACATGGGCCAAAAGACCTGTCATTGTTAGTGCCCCGTGCGTTTTCTATTTTTACATTGGGAAGGGGAAGGCCCTTCAAACAAGAGTGGACAAAAGTTGGGCCCACACTCTTTCTCAGTAATGGGCAGTATATTGTGGTAGGCACGGAAGAAATTTTTTTCATTACGACGGGAATACAGATGATACACCATATACTTTTATGTAAATGGTGAGAAATTTTATTTTTTAAGTTATTCACTTTTTAACACATATATCTCATCATTTGTATAATAACACGTGATATACCATCTCATGTGCCGGTAACACTAAAAAATCTCTCTAAATGCAATTCGTTCGTTTGCTTTGGACGGGGGACAATTGGAGTCCCTTTCTGATAAAGAATGGCGAAGGATACACACATCCTCTCATAAGGGTTATAAACGAATCGAGCTCAACCGAATATCAATGTGTTTAAGTTTGACTTGTTTAATTCTTTACGAGCTTAGATTAAACTTGGTTTACTCTTACATACGAGTCAAGCTTAAGCAAGCTTAAAAGTTTGAGCCCGATACCGAGCTCAAATTGTTTCGAGCCATTTCTTATAATAAGTTGATTTTGTTTTATAATTTTTTTTACAACTTGGCAGTGGCCTATATAAAAAATCATGATATAGTTTTTGTAGATTGTAGTAAGCGGAAGATATAATGTTTTGTATACTAGTCTACTATACAAATACGAGCATAAGTTTACTACAATATTTGTACCCTTAAAAAGTTTTGAAGTAGATGATAGTATTGGCAATGAATAATTCGCCCAATGGACTTTGGCTTTTCAAAATTTGCAGTACTCTTTAGGGTTCTTTGAGCGGCAACTTGAAGTCTTATTCGGCTATTGCCCCCTAATTCCACAAGAAAGAAAAAACAATATTAAACTATTGTTTTAAGCTTTTGTTTTGTTATCACATAGTACTATAATTTAGAGATATTTTTCTTCACTTGTAAGTAAGAGGTTTTAGGTTCAATTCTCGTCAAAGGCGAATTTGAACCACATTATTGTCAGCTTATTATAAAGCTTTACCCACTCTCCTACCCTTTAATGCAGATAATATCGTTTTTTTTTTAAAAAAAAAAAAAGTCTTCGTTTTGCTAATTGAATTAGTTTGACTTGAACCTCCAAATATGCATATGATAAGAAATTAAATATATATATATATATATATATATATATTATATTACAAAACATTTAATCTAGAGTTGAAGACACGTATTTTACTCTTACTTGTCAAGTTTGAATGATTGAGCTGATCTCAAGCCTAATTCGAGTCGCCTCATAAAACAATCTCAAGCTGCTTGCCAACTTTACAAGTTGAACATACTAATATTCAAATTTGACTTGTTTTTTAATCGAGTCGGATTAGGCTTGACTTGGTTCTTTCACTAGCCGAGCTTCCCTGAACCAAACATGACCAAAACCCAGTGCAAGTTCAAACTATTTTGAGGTAATTTACAGCCCTAATCCTCAAAACATCACATGCAGTAATATTTCATACCTATTATGCGTAACTATGTGTTTTAATTTTTCACATGTCGTTTGTTTGGTTTGATACATTGTCACTTTGACGTTTTTGTTTTATATATGTCATGTGCGCTTAATGAAGTTCAATTTTATTTTATTAGCACGAGACGCCACTGTAACAGTGTACCCATGCCTATATAAGTCCATTGCATCTTTTAGGCAATGCATAATGCATCATGTATCTCAGTACAAGCATGGTTTTGCTCTGCAGCCTTTTCCTTCCCCCCACCACCCGTAGCTGAAAAGCATTAAAGCTGACCAAGTAGATAGAAGATGCCAAACACCATTGATATAATATTTTCTGTCTGATTCTTGTAGAAAGTATACTATTACAAGCAAATCTCCTCACAAAATTCAGAACGGAGGGACACAAAAACACTAATTTTAAATATATACACCAAATTTCATATTTCACATAAAGTATTTGGGGAATATTATCAAAAGAATTCTATCTCTTCCTAATATTTTTCCCTATGTTCTTCGTGAAGTTCATAGTACGATATTAGATGTAGATGTGGGTTAGGCCAATTAGCTAGGGCTAGGCACTCAATTATCTACACCCAAGATCGGATTCCCCCCCTCCGTGCACGTTGACAGTAGTTTAGAACATATATCATCTTTTAAAATTCGGCAGCATATCGGATAACTGTTGGCAGATCCATCCACAAGCTCAAACACAGAGAACTTCCTCTAAAAGTTCATCAAAAATTAAGTCCTCCAGCTCAATCCCTATGCACTCCGAATCAAACTGGAGGTTCATCCATCCGTCGTTCTTGTCCAGGTCTCGACTCAGAGCATAATCCAGTGATTGATCGACCTCAGGTATCAAGCTCAAGTTCCAACTCACAAGGGCCCAAACTTCCTTCAAAACATGGTGCCCTGCCGGCATTAGAGGAATGTGACATAAGGAAGACAACGCCATCGGACAGTAGTTGTATGATCTCCCATATATCTCCATCAGCACCTCATTGATCAGATCAAACAAAAGATAGTGATCACATTTCCCGCCTTCTTCGTTTCCTGAACAATCAGGATCATGCACCAAGCAGCCTTCAGTGTCTCCATACATCAAAGGATCAACAGGCTGCTCATCCAAATGCCATGTCCCGAGGGACTCATTTCCACTGAATCCGGATTGCTCCAACACATCTCGCACATAATTGAATTCAGCCATGTCTCTTTCATCAACGCAGACATGAGTCATTTCGTACCTCAAGTGCTTCATTGGACTTCCTATCTTCTCCGTATCCATGTGAACCGGTTTAGGTGTATCAATAAGAGAATCATGCTCTAGCTTGGCCAAGCTTTCTATTCCATCTCGAGGTTTTACTTCAATTTCTGCTCCTATAAAACCAATATCCATAAGCACGATGAATCCTCAGCCTTAAAGTTCACAAATTAGTGATCGATGCATGAAAAATATGAGGAATGGCTTAAATTTGAAACATAATTCACATTTTCTACACTAAGAAAAGTTGGCTTGATCATTAAGTGCCAAGATTTAAAACTAGCAAATCTGATAATTTCATAACTTTCATTGATGATAACGGTCGTAGAGCAACAAAAACTTAAAAGTTTTGAAGAATGCATGCACCTGGATTGAGATGTTGTAATTTAAGTTAAAACTTATCAATGAAAATTAAAGACATACCTTCAGAGAGGGAAACGTTGAACTCGGGCAAAGAGATTGGAAATGGTTCTATCAAGCTTTCAATATCGTTAACAATTGAATCCACCGGAGCACTTTTCTCACTGTTTACAACTGATGTTGATGCCATCTTATCTCTGGAAACTGCCTTGAATTCACCACCGCCAGCGAAATTTTTAATCTCACTTTCTACAGGCGCAGCGAGCTGCATATGATTTTCTGAACCTATGACTATGGTGTACACTGTTTTGTTCATCAAAGCTACTTCTTCTGCTTGCATTTCCATCCACAAGAGCCCTAATTGGAGCTCCAGAAGAAAACACATCAGAAGATTCCTCGTTCTGATAATTATATGATTTAATTTCAGGTAACGAAAAAATCCTCCCCAGCGTTTTTGGAACAGAACGTAATGGTGAGCCTACCCTTTCATTTCTCAACTTCAATCTCTCGGATGTTGTTTGGCATTTGGCTTCTCTGTTGCAACTAGTCTCGTACAACTCACAGTACTTATCTAGCGATGCATTGAGTGATGACGCTCTTCTCATGTGGTGCTGTTGCTTTTTCTTGATGGTAGAAACCGAATGATCGCTATCATAACTGCTTGCTGGACTGTCTTTACCTTCTCTGTTCATTGCAGGGTCCTTCAAATGGTTAATGATCTCTTGCTCCATTTCTTTAGTAAGCTTTTGGCCATGAGGAACCTTGTGAAGGATGGCATCCATGGCAATCATATGTCTCTCTTGTCTGCTCTCCTTGATTACATGCTTTATTTTTTGCCTCAGATCCTTGAACCGTTTAATTGCCACTTGATTCTCACCTTGGTTCCTCAAATTTTCGGAAGAACCAGAAGCAGAACTATCGGCAATTGTTTGATTTAGCTTTAGAATCCCATCTGCATTGTGCTCAGTGATCGATGGAATTGAGCGTTCACCAGCATATTTCAAAGAAGACGACCCTGCTAACTTCTTTGTTTTGCTACTGTTTTTCGACTTGCTTTCCTCTTTTAAGGAGACCCTGTGAATTCATGCTTGTGCCTGAGCTTGATAGGGAATGACTCTGACTTAGTTAAACCCATTTTAGCAATGAAAGCTTGCTGATTATGGAAGTGCGCAGCTAAAGGAGAGCCGGCATCATGTAAAATCTTTACTAATAACTCCTTGTTCACATTGATTATATCCAACGCCTCCAAATACTCCTTTGGATGGTGTAGGGAAACATCTGCATTGAGTTCTTTTACGTGTATCAACTTCTTCTCGAACATATCTTGCATTCTGTCATCATCCAGCTTTTCTTCAATAAATGTGTGATCTTTTTTATTCTCATTAACCTTGTCATGCACGGTACGATCTCTAGTGATTAGTGGACAACTATCTCCACAACAATCATTATTGCCACTAATTGGTCGTTCATATGATGTCGCGGACAGTGATGCCAGATTGCTTGTAGCACAGGATTTTTCATTGCCGTGGTGAACAATTCTAGGACTAGTCTCATTCAATACCATTTCAGGCAATCGGGTACAGGTTAGGTGGTGGTTCCAAACGATGCATGGATTCTGTTCGTTTCAATTGTGATCGTACAGGACAGCTTGAGGCCCGGTTATGCCTACCCTTATTCTTTGACATTTCTCCAGCAATCCGTGCTTTTATTCGGGCCTTGACGGAATGTATGCCTGCTGGAATGAACTGCCTCGTCTTTTCTTCACCCTGATAAAATCAAACCAAATGCTGCTTTTGTCTATCCACTCATTCAAGTACAATTTTTGAACACGAAAAGAAATTAATATCCAATAATGCACTGTCAGAAATTCTTTTGCTCAAACTTACGTTGGATTTGTCACTCTTCGCATCAGTGTCTTCTGGCATACAGGCATTTCCAGTACAGCTTCCCGGAATCCCAACTCCTGCAGCGTAGCAGACCCAAAGAAAACAAATTCCAACATAAATTAATAAAATGTAATATGATTTTACATCACATATCATGGCATAATCATAAGTTCCAGCCTTTCCATTGAACTGCTTACAAAAATGAACGAAATTTGGGCCACCGGTGCATTATACAAGGACAATTATTATGCACATAGGTAGATTTTATCCGCAAAGTTTGCGTATATGGCCAACGCAGGAAAATAAAACTTTCGTATAGTATAGAGTCATTTTACTTACCAACAGCATGTTTATTACCGCGATGCCTCTTGTGCACAAGTCTTTTCTTGACATAATGCCAGTGGTGATACTTCATCATATGAAGTAATCCCCAAACGCAACCTGGTGAATGCTCATTCCCTGATGAATTGTTAGGGTTTTTGTCTCTCAAATTCTTTCCCATGGTTGGTAAAATTTACCTCCCCAATTCTACTTTGAATGACAAATGACGGATTCAGCTACAAGCTCGTAAAACCTATGTTTCAAGTCACCAGCAAACATGAATCACCCCGGACAAGGAATCTGAATTCCATTGCACTGGCAACAAAACATGGATCAGATATTGTACACTACGTATCAAATTCACAATGCTTGACATCTATGGAGTCCCCAACACATACAATGGCGAATGCATCCAACCATCGAAGAAACACTTCAAATGCTTCCTAGAAAAGCACTTGGAAGAGAACCACCTAGTATTTTTAAGTTTTACTATCAAATGCTCTCGTAAACGCTATTTGATTGTCAGAATAACCATTCCAAAAGCAATCTCAAACATGCCCGTAATCTACCCCCAAGAACAAATCAGAGCAGCATTTCCTTTCTTTGTTTCCCTCATCTAAATTAATTTTGAGGAAGCATTATTATTTCCCAGATAAATTTTCGTTGGAAATATATGGGAGTCTGATTCTCAAGCAAAAGTAGAGGACAAGGAAAAGGATATGAAGGATAATATTCTGGAATTAAAACAATTCAACAACAACTATAACAAATTCATAATTAACCATATTTCGTACCATTGATCGAATGCATGGTTCATGATCGAGAGCTAAAAGAAAATCCATGCACCTCTTTGCGGCAGCCATCCATATGAACGTACGTTGAAGAGAAGCTCGTCTGTTTGTTTGTTTGTTTGTTTGTCCGTAGGTTGAGAAGTACATGGTGCGAGGAGAGAAATTATAAGAAAGATCCCCAAAGTATTGGGAACTCAGCCCTCCTCCTGTGTTTTCGGGTTGGGAACTTGGGAACCAATGGCCTCAACTACTCCACATCAGCCAGTGTTTAAAGCCTTAACCCTCACCCTTTACCACTTAACAGCGAGACCAATATGTCCGATACTTATTGGTTTAACGAACTTACATTATTGAGGATGTTCCTTTTGAAGATTGTAATGCTCTTTAATCATCAATAAAATTCTATGGTCGGAAAAAATCGTAACAGTTCATTTGTATTGAATAATATGATAGAAATAAATAAAAAATTTGAATTTGACATAAGAGTAGATTAGTTAGAAACACAATGAGAGTAAATTTGAATTTGACGTGACGATCTGAGTTGTCTATTTTTTATGTCACTCCTCAAAGATCATGTGTACCAAAAATACTCAAATCTAAAATTATAGACGGTTGGATTATGGGTTTATGGTTTCTTTGTAGGACCATATTCGTATATTTTTTTCACTACAAATGATTGTTGTTTGTACCACACCTCACCAATCTCAAAACTACTAAATACCAATCAACTCCATACCTTTAAGGACCCACTAAAGGGTTCATGTTGAGGCACCCTTGACAAAGCACATGAATTCCTCTCCAATCAAGAGACCAATCACAACACAACAAGTGTCAAATCAGAATAAAGCTCCTAAAGTCCCACATCGACCGTGGACGGGAGCTGAAAACTCTCACCAACTATAAAAGGAAACCGTTCTCCTACAATTAATTCCACTATTATACTTAAGTTTGTCATTAAACTCACTGTATTGCGTAAACCCTTAACTATTAATGAGAACTCCTCGACCCTATAGACGTAGCTCAACTTAGGATGAACCACGTATATCTTGTATTTGCTTCCCTATCTTTATCTCTTTACATATTATCCTAACTAGGTGACCGGAGCAACCTTGCGAAGATTACAAACTTAACGCTTTACGTTGTTTCAAAGTCTCGCTAATTTTATGCATCAACAAATGTCTTAATGGTTTAGATTTCTCTAGTTTTTTGCAAGGATGATCTATGAATGATATTATAAAAGATAGACGGTTTAGATCGTCAAAATACATTACTGAGTGGGTTCCACAAAAACTTAAAGTTGTGTAAAAAAAGTTGTGTCATTGATCCATCTTAATATCTGATCTGCTCCAATATATATATATAGGAGTATATATTAATAACAAAATATGGTATATCTGAAATGGTTTGAGAACATATATTATGAATTGTTACATAAGTGATTTTGACTAGCCAAACACTAACTAAATTACTAAATTTAATTGGAATCACTCGTCTCAACTAAATGCATAATCGACTAGTCTAATAACAAGCATATTATTGTTTGTTATCGGAAGAAATTTAGAGTCTGTTTGGTACTATACTTGAATCCAACTTTTTAAATTCAAAAACTCTTTTAAAATTTAGGCCTTAAAAACTTGCTTGGTATGACTATTTTCAAAAACTGAATTCAAGACTAACTTAAAACATAGCATATTCTCTAAAAACATTAAAACTGAGTTTTTAGAGTTTTTAAACATAAAGCTCATTTCTTTCTTTTCTGTCTCTCCTCCCCTGTCACCCCGAGTCTATCTCTTTTTTCTTCTTTATCTCTCTTCCTTCTTTCATTTCCTTCTTCTTTATCTCTCCTCCAATCCTCTTATCTTCTTCTCTCCTCCAAACCTCTCTTCTTTCTCTCTCATTTGATCCTCTCTAATCTTTCTCCTTCTCATGCGATCCACTCTCTTTGGATCTCTTTGTCCAGTTTAAGTTTTAAAATTTAAAATTTTTAAATCTCATATCAAACAAGTTTTTGAGTATTAAAGAAATCTGTTTCAAGAAGATATTCTAAAGAAATGTTTTGAGAAATGATGTAATTTTTTTTAATTGGATACCAAACAGACTTTTATATATCTGCTTTAAAACACAATGAGAGCTAGATTAACAACATTCATGAACTTGGATCAAACTCAGAGTAAATCCCAAGTTAAACATCAGTAGCTTCATTTGGTAAAATTTAAAACAAATGACAGACATGTCAGTCCGGATATTCGAATATTAATTTACTGACATTTAATTGGACAAATATAAAATAAGCATGAACAATTTTGATAAGAACTATAAAATAAGCATATGCATATACATGTGTGTGTGTGTGTGTGTGATTATATGGCCATGGAACGAAGTGTCCGTATTAGAGCAAGTCCACCCCTGCAAATCCCTTTTGCAATTGGGTGATTCAATCCTCCTATCCCAACAAAAATTGCTTCATCACACCCAAGTCTCCCTTGCCATTCGGTCCCAACTTGCCCAGACTCAGGAATTGGGCCATTCTCGCCTGCCTCTGTGCCTAAGGTGATGTAACATCATCATGACAAAAACAATTTGCAAGAGAAGGTGCAACATGAGACGTGGTCAAGGGACAATTTCGCCTTCTCTACGGTCGAGAAATCCTTCTTTGAAGATGAAGTGAAGGAATGGATGGAGAGAGAGGAGGGACGGAGCAAGTGGAGGGACAGACGAATCGAGGGAGGGAAGGACGAAGAAAAATAAGAAAAAGAGGGAGAGGGGGACATACGTAGCAGGAGCTGCAGTCGTGGGACATGGCCTTATGTATCAGGACCTGTCATCGGTGAGCGCGAAGTCGAGGGAAGAGGAGGAGAAATGAAGGACAGAGGAATTGAGGAGAAAAAGAGGGAGAGAGTGGATGATTCCAGAAAGAAACGGTTCCTGAACATTAATATTCTTTTTATAAAGTAATATTAATTTCTAATTTTCTTTGTTATTATTTTTTGAAAAATAATTTTTTAATGTGAATTGCCTGGATAATTTATTGGCGGGGGCGGCAGCGGGGGTAGGGTTGGGGCTGAGGGAGGGGATGGGTGTGCTTTCTATTCACTAAGACCATCTCCAACCAAGGGCTGATCAGATGATTCGTTTTAGCCTTTTGGCCCTCAAAGATATTAATATTCTAATGAACAATACATGGCTATGTTTGCCTCCGTCTTTAACCGAGGGCCAAAGGGCCATAGGACTCGTTTTAACCCTGTCACAAAAAACCATCTCCAACCGAGGGCCAAAAGGCCAAACATAATTTATTATTTAAATTTAGAAACTACAACAATTTAAATTCAAATCCAACAACAACTTAAATTTAATATCCATAATCAACATCATCTTCATCATTCGCCATTGTAGGAGTATAGTCATAGGTAAATAACAGCCGCCGGATCATAATTTTTTCTTTTTTTCCTATCAAAATAGGCCTTACTCATTGGAGTGTAATTCGAAGTGTTCCTTTCCATATTCTTATCATCCATCTCTTCTTGTATTTGTTTGGCCCGTTCTTCATGCCTACTTTTCCTTTCTTCCGCCTCAAGGGCATTTTGCCCCGCCATTAATCGCAATGAGGCCGCTGCTTCATGTTGAGTGGTGTAATCATCATTTGCCTTGCCTTTTTCCTTCAACCTTCGCGCCTTGTTTCGTCCCATAGCCCTAGGTATGAACCTTCACCCGAAAACGGATTTTTTACCCTTGTTTGTTGAATGGTTGGAGATCCATCTTCATCCATATCTGCAGCTGAGGATGCAGTTCCGAACACTGGCATATGAGCTTTATGTGGTGGATCTTCAAATAACACCCACCCTTTACAAATTTCCAACTGAAAGGGTTTCGAGCTGCTCTCCATATACAAATCCTTCGCTTGGCGTACCTAGAAAAAAATTAAAGAAAATTAATTTATGAAATTAAATGTAATATAATTAAATATTTAAAATAAATTGTGAAAACACTTACATCGTCGTAGTAATTAGCGCTGCTTTCATGTCTACTTACGGCTACTAACAATGCTTGATGCCATTTGTTCAAACTTGGCTGAAGATGTTTCTTCCATCTTAAAGAACAACTCTCTTGATTTCGAATATTCACTAGAGTGATGCCTTCATAGAACTCTAAGTATTTTTGGACACGCAAGTCTAAACACCGTCATTTGTTTTACAATTCCCCCTCACACTATCTTCCTGCACCCATCTATAAGCCTTGCAAAGAGCTTCATCTTCTTTTCAGGTCCAAACCTTACCTTTCATTGCAAACGAGGCCATTTGAAAATTATTGAAAAAAATTAAAGGATAGATTTTTGAAAAAGGAAAGAAAATATGAGAATTGAAATGGTGTAGGAATAGTGAATGAATGGTTTAGGTATTTATAGGAAAAAAATTAGAATTTTTGAGAATTAAAAAAAAAAAAAATTGAATCCAACTGTAACTGGTGCCAGCTAGCCGTTTGATTCAAATTTCTTTTTAAGCATTCCTGTCAGTTATAACCGACAAGATTAATGTTTTTCCTGGCTAGCCCCGGGCTGCAGCAGCCCTTTGCCCTTTCAAATTCTGTGGGGCCCTTTCAGATTCCACAAGCTCTCTGGCCTAGCCCTCTGGCCTAGCCCTCGGTTAGAGACGGTTTTCGGGCTATTTTCGGCCCTCTGGCCTTCTAGACCCTTCAGTTGGAGATGGTCTAAGGCACCCTAAGGGGTGGAGTTGCTCTTTAGTACCAAATGGTAAAATTCTCCAACGATTACTGTTCACTAAGGCGCCCATAAGAGCAACTCCAGCGTTGTAAGGGCCCCCTAGGACAACTAACTATTGAATCCCCACAGTGAACAGTAACTGTTTTTTGCATTTCCACCCCTAAACTAAATAGCCATGGCAATAGACAATAAAATATTACTATTTTTTATTTTATAAAATAATAAAAAATAGTTTTATTTCAAATTTCGTTTATGATTTTTAATCAGTCTCGTTGTACCACATTTCATTAAATAAAAAATTACAACTCAAAGTATTTGAGAAAATATAAAATTGTGGTGTAAGGTGGAAGATAATGACAAGATATTTATAGAAAAATTAATTAATATTTTTTTAAAATTTTTAAATTTTTTTGGAATTTTTTATTAATTGTTTATTTTTTTAATTAATTTTATAATGTGGTTGATGTCAGCCTTGCATCATGTGGCATCAGACTCTTAGGCCACCAATTCGAGCTGGGCCTCTTACTCGGGCTTCCCCTAAGCCCCATTGCCCGCATGGGCTAGAGCAAATTGCTAAGGCTATTGAGTTATTTATGTCGTTGATCCATCGGGCTCAAGACACCAATGGAGTTGCTCTTTAGCACCAAATGACAAAATCCTTAACTTTTATTTTAATTTCTAATATAGTTATGGAAAATCTTGTCGTTTTATTCTTTTTGTTTGGTTGTCAATATTTTGGATGCAAGATACAGGCTAATTAATCTCATCTTAAACAAAAAGTACCCTAAACTCAAACTCCCCACTCCACTTGCAACAAGGTCAACTTCGTATGTTAAGTACATGATGCGAGAATTATACGCACACAAATTAAACCCTCTTTTTGTCAATTGTAGTAAATATGTAAGTAGGGATCGTTCTGGACTGGGGATTAGGAGGGATTGTTAATCACTTGGATTTGACTTCAAAAACGTAAAAACAAGT